ATGTTCTTAGCCAAGTAACCGTGCAGTGTTCTTAAATGTGTGAAAACCCTGCAGCGTTACTTCCTGCCCCTTTCTCCTCTGTGTTGCTGAAGCATTGCCGTCAGTAATACGGTTCAGTCTCTGTCTGTATGATGTGTACTGTGTGCAAATTCATGTTTGAAGTGTAATTCCTTTACTGTACGTTTACATCGGCATTCAGAGCTTTGCATGCTTTCCTGATTCAATAATTTTAAAAGTGACAGATTTCTCTAAAGATATTAAGGTGATGATCCTTAAACTGTCAAATGTTTTAATATTTTCATTAGCTTCTGGTAAGTCTGATGTTTGGAACTGAAACTTTAGAAATCTCCAGGTGAGGAGAATATAAACCTTTTAACTTTATTTCCATAATATATTGATTTCCATATCAAAAAGGTTTATCTTGATATATGTTCTTTAAGCAGGTCAGTTATTCAGTATGTTAAAACCAGGAAAGAACCTGTAATATTTAGGCATCTTAGGCGTTTGACAGTTTAATTGCTAAACTCTCCAGTAATTAAAGGAAATGTTTAGGGTGAAAATACTGATCTTTCTCACTGGTAGTTTAAGTTCATTCTTCATAACAAGTCATACTTTTGCTTTCATGATTCCTAACTCCAAAAAGAAATTGGCTTTATTCATCTGTTAGTCCTTACTCCATTATTTTAGAATAATGGCAATGACAATTTCTTGGAAGAGATGGTATGTGAGGATGTGTTCCCCTTACAAAGCATTTGCTGCAGCTGAGAATACAAAAGTCAGAACATTCCCCTGAAGAACACACATCAGTGGTATAAATATTTTCATTAGTATCCCCTCTCCTTTTTCTTTTAATTCCATGGGAAAGTAAGGAAATTCCAGTGTTGTTTCCACTAAACAAAAGGGAGAAGAAAAGATCTCTACAAGTGTTCTGTGAATGTGGCAGTTGAAACATATGGAATCATTTACTCAAATTGTCTTTTAAATTCTCAGAAACCCTAAATTAAATCTTCTCCTAGACACCATTGCACTGCAGCAGGACCACTCTGTCGTGCAAGGAAAGAGCTAGGACAATAACTGCTCAGGGCTGCTTTCATATAAATGTCATGATGACGGTTGGCTCAATTGTTCTTGTCCTTTTGCAATGCATGCGATTTTGTGGCAGTAGGTTACATTTCCAGACGGGCAATGCTTCAGCAATTACATGGAATCAGTACATTCTCACACGACGAGCGTCACTATACTGCTCACACATGGATGAACAAAGGTAAGACTCAAAAACACTGGCTTCGTTTTTATCCTAGCATGTGAGTTGAAGTGTTCTTCTGTGTTTCTGTCAGTGAGGTGGGTAGCAAATTAGAGGTTTTGTAATTGTTTTTAAATCGGAAGCCTTCTACGTGTACGCTGTTGCTCATAGCTTGAATTTAACAATCAGTCCAATGTCGTAAAGGAAATTGGTTCCTGAGTGTCCATCTGCATCTCACCAACTCATACCATGCATAGAGCAGGGCTGAATGAAAACATTTTGAGGAAAGCAGGACTACTGTAAGGCAAGTAGTGGTATTTCTGAAGTATGAACCTAACCCACACTATGCAGCTCTTTGAAATTCACTCACTGCAGATAATGATGCTTTTGCTGAGAACTGCTTAGATTTTGGCCTAACAACTTGAATAGCAGCATATCCCAAGTCATAGTCACTCGTTGGCTCTCAGGGGACACTGGACCCCTCTGATAGTGCACTCTGCTTCCAGTGGCAGGAACAGCCTGAAGACCTGTTTGGAGAGAGAAAGAAAAAAAAAAAAAAAAAAAAAGAAAAAAAAAAAAGAGCCAATAAACGGAAATCTACAATGGGAAGACAAGTAAAAATGACATGCTAGCCTAAGAGAGAGACAGCTGAGTGGGAACAGGGGGATCGCTGGAGTTGGGATATATGCCTCTCCAAGCAAAAGAAATACTGGACGTTTCAAAGCAAGAGGCAATTTAGAGACAGGAGCACATTTATGAGAAAGTGCCAAGGATCTTCTGGAGAGGAGAAAGAAGGAAAGAATACTGGGGAACAGAAAAGTATCTTCTTTTTGCATATGAAAGTTCTATCGCCTTACTGAAGCAGGGAGACCACATAAGCTTTGTTTAACCTCGGTTAAAGGGAGTACCTGAAAGTGGTACTGGTGCTGGTTCAGAGTCACACAGAGAGGTGTTGTAGCTGACATTGGTGGGACACCTGTTTTGCTGGTGTTTGGGTTAACATGGTGGTTGGGTTAACGATTAGTATAGACTGGCAGTGTTTGTACAGGAGAAATTTTAGCAGGTGGAACATCATTTTAAAACATAGAAACTAGGCTAGGTAAGTTTTTACAGTTTCACAAAGAAAGTGCTGTTATATTTCTTGAGGATATAACGGAGCAGTTTTGAAATAAAGAATTTAGGGTATATTCTCTTTGAGAAAGACAGTCTCATGGGAATAGCACTAAACTAAGTTTTATCCCAAATTCTAGGGAGAAGAGAGATTTCTGCCTTGTTTTAGAGCTAAAGTCACATAGTGATTGCAGCCTTTCATGGGTTTTGTTTTGCTGTTCAGATATGTTTAATGAAATCAAATTTTGAAATGTGTCATGCTGGTCTTTTGTGTTTAAGTTTGAGTAGTGTATTTAATATAAAATAGCACAGTATGTTCCCAAAAGTGTCCTAAAGATTATATCTGTTAATGTCAGTTCTGCTAAAATGTCTTAGTTAACTGTACTGCACAGGAGTGAGGAACACTTCTTGTTAATTTAGAGAGGGAGAAAGCTTGATGACACATGCAAATGGCACATCATATATTTTAAGGTCCGTGCATGTCGCCTACGCTAACTAAGCAGATGCATTTGTCCTTTCAACATCATTCTCAGTATGAGCACCACCATACTTGAATTTTATGGCAGTGATATTAATATACATTTTAAAGAGAAGAAGAATTACATAATAAGATATTTTAAAAGTAAGGTACATTTTGAATTAAAAAAAAAAAAAAAAAAAAAAAAGATTTGTGGATCAATCTGTGCCTTGAAATTACTGAAATTACAGCCCTCTCCTGCTTTGCCCGGCAGTTGTCACTTTGCTTAAGAAGGAGCTGGGCCAACCAGTCCAGTGCAGAAGTACAAAGTGCTTGGGGTTATGGGAGACACTAATTCTCAAGGTATTAGAAACTGTATTTGCACACGAATAAAAAATCCCAGTTTTATGCAGATATATTTAGCAGTGCTGAGCTAGAACTAGAGTAACAACAGTGCCTACTTGAAGAAGGTGAAACAGGGTGAGGAGAAGGCAGTGCTTAGAAATTCAAGTAGACAGAAATTTCTCTTCCATTAGAGTGGGACTGAAGTGCCAGGAAATGTTATCCTGCAAAGCTCCTGTTTGAAAAGCTACAGATACCCTCCAAGAACAGCAGCTGTGCCAAATGTGAATGAGCAGCATGTGAATCTGCCCCATCCCTGCGTGCCAACACAGGCATGTAAGGTGGCATATATAGTAATGCCTGCTCTGGTTCCAGTAATGTTTTGCTGTGGTTCTCTCCAGTCTTTCCCAGGTAGCTGCTGTGAAGAGGATAATTTCAGCAGTTTACACGGCGTGATCTGGGTAGGGGAATATAATGCTGCAACATGTTGTCCAAGGAAGATTCACCTGCCAAACTGCTGCTTCTGATGGAGAGCAAGAAGCATACATACAATATGAGGCTTAGCCTAGTTTTCAATTGGAGTACTTGAGAAAGTTATTTTCTATTCCTCTTCTCAGTCATTTCTACTGGCTCTGAAGAGATAGCTCTCTATTCTGAGGTACGAGACAGATAATTTCATACCAAACACGAATCTGCTTCATAATGATAGGTTCAGAAGTAAGCCTTTTATCTCCGGTCCAATACCTTCAAATATTTCTCCGTCTCCAGAGCCTCCTACTTCCTCTAGTTGTTTATGTTGCAGAAGAGAATGTGAGGTTTCCAGTGATCGAGACTGGTCTTGACTCCAGGTTGGTAGACAGCAGCACTGGCACTAGTCGTTTTGCAAACACTATGCTAGCAGCCAGCCCTGCTCTCCTTTTCCCTCTGGCTCCTCTAGTCTTCAGTGACTTTTTAGCCTCAGTGTCCTTTATAGCCTCCAACGTGTTGTCACTGACACATCCCGCTAGTGCCAGCAGCTCCCTTGCACGGTTTTGTTCTCCCTTCTTGGCACAAAGCAAAGCAAAGCAGGGATCCCCGAGCCCGACAGCGGTCAGACCATGTTCACTGTTCCCTCAGAATCGCCGTGCCTGTGTTATTTGCAGTGAGGTCAACGCAGCTCTGTCTGCAGCTGGCTCTCACTGTTGCCTGCTAAAGCTTAAGCAAGAAGATGAACCCATCAGTGCCAGCTCACTATGCAGTTGTTGTCTAGGGCACAGAGCACATTTCTCATTTCAGCGCCCGGGAAACCAGAGCTGAATGGTGCCCTGAGACATCTCAGATGCTGGGATCACTTTAGCAATGGGTGTATTTCTCCCAGAGAGCAGTTATTCATAGCTTGACAATACACGGCGGCTGTGAACTGAGTGCTAGTACTGCCTAGCGATGGAAACAGCAGCAGAGCAAAGGACACGTGTTCTGAAGTTGGTAACAGCTCCTCCCTTCGTGTCCTGCAGCGACGAGATACATGGATTAATTGTAAATGCATTGGTAACATATGGGTCTAAAATTATTTCATGCTATTTAGAACAAGTCCTTTGAGCTAAGGCTGTTGTAAACTCTAATTAGTCTATGCTAATCTCCATAATAAGCAGCTATTTCTAATGCAGATCTAACTGATGAGGTCTGACAGCGTTTTCCACGCAGTTATACACTGGCAGGAAGCTGATATGGCGTTAGTATCAGACTGTTTGCCCAGGTTATGAAAATGCTGTGTTTTCTGTACTCTGCAGGGAGTTTGTATTTGCTGCAGGCTTGTGCTTGCTCTCGGATTGCCAGCTTATGCCTGTTCGATTGTATTTATTTGTGCAGAAAACCGGGAAAACTCCTTCAGCCGTTCCCGAAGCTCCAGCTGTGTCGAGCATCGACAGGGACTCAAAGGAGGCAATTACAGCTTTGTACTTCATGGAGTCCTTTGCCCGAAAGAACGACTCTGCTGTCTCCCCATGCCTCTGGGTTGGAACGGGCCTTGGTATGGTCTTAATCCTCTCCCTTAACCTGCCTGCCAGTGACGACCTACGGCAGTCAGAGCCGGTCATGGTGTCACCAAGTGGTAAGAGTGCCGCTCTTTTCCTGTTTATTTTCTATCTTGGTACAACGAGAGAAAAACTGCATGGTTTTGTATGGTCTTTTTGGCAGAAAATTCTCAGGAAATGTATCAAGCGGTGGTCACGCGCTACATTGAGGGTGCACAGGTAAAAAGATATGCTTGTGAGAGACCCACAGCTTCACAAGCTGAGGCACTTTGGTTGTGTTACTCCTGAAGACTACCCTACATCTTGGGCAAAGTCATGTGTAATCTTTGTGAGGACAGGGAAATTAGCAGGGCTCCTTCATACTGGGAAATTGCAGTCCTGTATACAGCTCTGATGCAATCCTATCTGGGATGCTGTGAACAGTTTGGCTGTCTTTCCTGTCAGAAGGCTGCAGAGAAGCAGAAGGGAGTTCAGGAAAGGAAACACAAATGTTGGCAGGTTGATGTACCAGGAGAGATCCTTGGCTTAGTGAGTGACAGATGGCAGAGCAGAGAGGACAGAGCAGTAAGAGAGGTCAGGTCTGAGGAGAGGCAGTATGTGCTCACCGCCTCCACGGCAAAGTAATGACAAAAAACAGAGGATACGCAGGAACAGAGGTAAGCCCCCACCACAGTTGGTTTAGAAAAATAACACTGGATGGACACCAGACTAAGGAGAGCGGTTTTGGTAGAAGGGTAATAAATAATCCTACTGGTTTAACATAGAGATAAAAACCAGCCTATTTTTATGGTGTTTGGCAGCATGTATTATATAGATTATTTGATACAGGCTGCCTGAGACCTTTTTGGTACTGGCAGCCTATTTGTTCACCTTCCTGTGTGGTCAGGAAGAACCAAGCGAGGACGACTTGTCACCTTAGCTAGATTAATGTGTTAGCTGTATTTACAAAAGCAAAACTAGGTGTCAGCTGTGCCTTGTGTACACCGTACTGACAACCAGTTTAATTGTGGTGCCAGTGCCAGTGAGAGACGCTTATATTTTGCAGGCACAGTTCTGACACTGAAAGGAGCAGTACTGACCTTCGCGTGCTTGGACTGCGTGGGGACGTTGACACATCCACCGTATGAAGTATGGAGGGACCCACACAGTGCTGATGATGGTGAAAAAACAAGAAAAAGGAAACTTGTCATGCATTCCCCTTCCTCCTCCCAGGATATGGGTGATCATCAATTTGCAGTCATTTGTTCAGAAAAACAAGCCAAAGTCTTCTCATTGCCTTCCCAAACATGTCTTTATGTCCACAACATCACCGAAACGTCCTTTTTATTGCGAGCAGATGTGGTCACCCTCTGTAACAGCGTCTGTCTGGCGTGCTTTTGTGCCAATGGGCACATCATGACACTGAGGTACTTATCTAACTAATCTTGTGGCAAAACTAAACAAAGAGGTGGCACAGCGCTGTCACGTTCCACTTGCATTTGCTGTAGGGTGTGCTTACAACATGTCTGATGCTCTGCATTAACTCCTGGTGGGTGCATTTAGTGCGCATTTTGTATACAATTAATTACTCCACCGGGAGCCCTGCCTAGCCTGCTGCCATCCCCGTTCCTTGGCCTGTCTCCACACGGGGAGATAAGGCAGCTGCACAGCAAAATGAACTCTTTCATTTCATAGTAACTCCCCCATGATGACAACTAATGGCTGATGACTTATAACTAGCATGAAACATTGATAATTTTGCTCAGTTATGGTAAGTCAGCAATAGAGCAGTGTAGAAAAGCTCAGGCATAGAAATGGTATCGTTTGTTTATCCAGTGTGAAGGGGAGAGCCCCACTCTTGCAATTTCAGATTTTTCCACTTGGAGAACCCAGTTTTTCTTCCTTGTCACTGCCACCATTGAGCTGACTGCAGCTTCACTGTAATTGTGCCCCTGCCCCACACCACCCATTCCCTGCCCAGGCCCTTTAAATTGAATCAGGATGTACAGCTAATGAGGTGAAGCAGGAGAAGCTGGAGCGCAGGTAAGGGGATGCTGGAGCCTTTGCCCCCTGCAAACAGGGCCTTGCCGTGCCATTTCCCACCTCATAACGGGGGGCAGACACTGCCCCCCCCACATGGCACAAGCCATACTGTGTCACGTGAGTGTCCCAAATCCAGACAGCAGCGGGAGCTGACTGTTGAGGCAAGGCAGCTGGATCTTCTCCCTGCAGGGAAGCAAAGTATGAAGGGAAGGCACTGTGTTGAGGGCAGGATTTCTCAGCTTAGAGCTGCACTTCAACTAATCCAGTTATGAAAAGCATAAACTTACACATTGGTTTAAAATGCAGCCATACAGCAGATGTACCACGTGTGGCAGTTTGTCTAACCTAAGTTTCTGTTTCTCTTCAGCTTGCCCAGCCTTCGCCCGCTGCTGGACATCAACTATTTGCCTGTAACAGATATGAGGATAGCGCGGACCTTTTGTTTCACTAACGAAGGGCAGGCTTTGTACCTCAGCTCTCCCACTGAGATCCAGCGCCTAACATACAGCCAGGAGATGTGCGACAACCTGCAGGTATGGCCCAAAACCTCACTTCACTGCCTAGCTTTGTCTTTGTGTGGGAGGGCCAGTGGCCTGAACAGCGAGTACCTGTAAATTGCCATTTTTACCGCTAGAGTTCTCAAAATAACATGATTTCTATGATTTCTAATCAAAAGATTTTTTTTTCAAATGGTTAAATAACTAATACTGGCATTTCCAAAGATGATACTTTGTTGTCAAATCACCAGCATACCTGTTGGTGAGGGGAAAAAAAAGAAAGGAACATTTTTTTTTAATTTTTAGTATCTCAAGTGACATTAAAGACAGGTGTGTTCCTTTGTGCTTGCCTGGGCTGACTGACACCAGAGAAGCAGATCAGAGAGAGGTCAGCAGCTCTGTTGCTGTTTGGACTCTTTTGTGGCAGTCACCTTGCTCCTGTGCCCTAATGGCTGGCCCGTGTCTCCAGCCTGCCCTCGTGTAATTGCAATCTCTGCTGGCTCTGCACAGAGCCAGATTTGCGCCCAAATGGGACTCTTCACAGCCTGCTTCTCTCAAAGTCCTACCAGACGAAAGACCAACTGTTAAAAATGACTGAAGGGAAAGAAGGGGAAGTTAGAAATTCATAGCAGCCACAGCAGTTGGTACCAGCATGTGTCCAACCACACAGCAACTGTGTCAGTGAAAATATGCGTTCCTTCCCATATTTTATATATTTTTTTATTTTAACCCCCAAAATATCTTAATACCTGCAGCTTTCAGTAGTTGGGTGGGAATATGAGACAAACTGGTGTTGATAGTATCAAAAAACACACTCTGTTTTAATATATTTTTAATTATTTACTGTTGTTTTCACTCCACTAATTGGCACTTCCCTTCTTCTGTATAAGGAAAGCAACTCCCATTGTACATTAAAACACAGTAACTACAGAAATGGTCTAATTAAAATAATTTATTTTGAGCAAAGGTCTTTACAATGTTAGGTTTGGGTTTTTTATAATGAAAATGCAAATTAAAATGTCATTTACTGAAGAGGAGGAATTGTAAGAGGTTATAGGGAGAAACATGAGTAATAAAAGAAAAAAAAAAGAGGGTGAATAAGTTCTAGGTTATATAATTAACAGTGAACTAGGATAGAAATATAAAAGAAATGGTCCTGCCAGCGCTCATTATGCCCTAGGGAATAACATGTGCTGAGCTGCTCAAATCACATCCCAGCACTGTCTGTCTCAAGTCTGAAGGAGCACTGTGAGGAGTGAGCATTGCATACCAGCGCTGCACAATGGAAAAGAGAGAGTTTTTGCAGGGAAACAATTTTAAAATTATTAAAAGGTTTGCTCAATGTATCTTAGATGGTGAACCTATAGCAAGATGCTGTTACAAGCTAGATTTTTATTAACCTTAATAGCATCATGCAACAACAAAATGGAAACAGCCCTTGCTACTCTGTACTGATGAGCTACGACTGCTTGGATCTTGGCTTTTATGCAACAGGGACAGTAAAAGGCATGCACAGCCATTAGCCGTGTACAAAAGGCAGATGACCCAGCATCACCTGCTACCTTGGAAAACAAGCCAGGCGGTATGAGAGAGGCCACTTAGGCTCAAAGGGCTACAGTACTTTTTCTCCCTAGAGCAGGTGACTCTGCAGAGGAGCAGTGAGTGAGTCACAGCTCTGTCCGAAGCACTCAGCTTCCCAGGGGCCTTTTGTGCAGCACAACAGCTGTGTCTGCCTGTTGAGGCAGAGATGAGCAAACACGGAGCTAAGCAACAGGGCAGCGACTGCTCTCATCACACAGCCTTGCTGGTCTTAAACACTAACGGGACCACATGCTTTCTTTACCAGTTTAATTCTGGGGAGACCACCTTCCTAGTACTGCTGCAAATAAAGCTAAGCCTGAGATTTGTTTGGCCCTAATTTAGTTCAACTGCTCCAAAATCTCTGTCACCATGACAGTGCTGCCAGACACGCTTATTTAGCATTACTGATGGCACTGCCAAAATGCACAATAACAATGAATAGGAAAGAAAGAGGGGAGCATGGAAGGCAATGGGCTTTTATTTAAAAACAAACAAACAAACAAATGAAAAAGAAACCTCTTAACTGCTATCGAGCACTGAAATCAGGTATGCTGTAAAGAGAAAACAGAGTGAATGCCCTGCTTGCTTGGATAATCACTAAAGCAAAACACATAATTCACAGCAAATTGATTATTCAATTACAGTGTCGTCTCTGCTGTTTCTAAGCAAAATGTGATCTTACCACTGATGTTTTCACAGACTTGACTATATCCAATGCATGTGGATTTTAAACTAATGCAAATGAAGTAAAGACCCAGACCTGCTTTCATGTCAGTAATTTTTCACGTGGACTTTTGCCTGACTTACTTTCTAGGACATGCTTGGGGATTTGTTTACTCCTGTGGAAACACCAGAAGCCCAAAACAGAGGCTTTCTCAAAGGACTTTTTGGAGGAAGTGGACAAGCTTTTGACAGAGAGGAACTCTGTAAGTGACTGTTTGTTTGTGTTTTTTTTTTTCTTTCCAGAAACTGGTACACAGGATCTCTTGCTCTTATCATCTAGGAACGGAGTGGTACATAAGATTTATATGATTGGTGGTTAAAAACAAAAAGAAAAGAAAAAAGGGCAGGGTTCTTGGTTACCTTATCTGTGATTATTTCACCTCAACAGCTTCCTTTAAGCAGTGGAGGGGTGGGGGTGCACAGCTGCACTGTAACAGGCAGGTGCAGAGAGCGGAGTCCTCCACGTGGCATCTGCACACAAGGTGTCATTGCTGCAAGGCTGCAGCTCAGGGGCCAGAAGCACCAACAGCACTACAGCCAGTGACTCATTCCCTATTTCTATTTCTCCTTTGCAGTTGGTGAGGCCACAGCAGGAAAAGCCTCTCGCAGTCTTGCCCAGCACATACCTGGATCAGGAGGAATTGAAGGCGTGAGAGGAGCCGCAGGAGGAGTTATTGGGGACCTGACTCGTGCACGCATTGCCCTTGATGAGCGAGGACAGAAACTGGGAGAGCTGGATGAAAGGACTGCGAGCATGATGGCCAGTGCAGAAGCATTTTCCAAACATGCACATGAGGTAAGAGCCCTGGCACCACACACACAGGACTAGGAACCACAAACTCTACAACTATTCCTTTGCTTCACTTCAGGAAATTCAAATACTGTGCTCCCCATTCACCTGGTCATATTGTTTTAGGTGTAGTCACATTAACTTAAATGCTATTTTTTCTGTTCTTTCCCCTGCACAATGGAATACCCAAAATAAACTTCATTGCACATCTCTTCCTTTCATGTTTTCATAAAATGAACATCCATTGTTAGCCTCTGAATTTAGAATGTGGTACTTCTCGTCTCACACCTTTTCCACAATATCATCGTGACTAGTCTTTTTTTTAAGCTGCTTACTGCAGCAGATCTATGCAGTAGGGCAGAAAACAAATAGGTGTGTACCTAGGAACACTGACAGATCTTACTGGTGAGAAGAGGAGAAAACCTCTAGTACAGCACTGTGATACAGTTATTTAGGATAATACTGTGCTTAGAGGTGGAAATAGAAAACTCTTCCAGCCCATGTTATTAAAGCTGGGAATCAACTAAAGTGATTTTTTAATTTTTTTTTAAGATAAAAAGTATTAAAGACTACTTCTCCAAAATGTATGTTTTTCAGTTAACTGTACAGCTGGTTTAACATGCATTACATTTCTGGATAAGATTTTTATGTTTTTATTGACTTTTGTTAAGTGTGAGGCAACAATGCATGGAAGGATCTTGCCCTGAATGCAAAACAGAGTTTATATATTCAGTGTGTATATACTGTGCTCCATAGATGAGCTTCTTTCTAAAGGTGTTAAAAGCACTGGCACTTCCCAGTCTTCTGCAAAAGGAAAGTGGTAAAGGAGTTAAAGTTCCTCAGGAAAAATCTTTTCATGAACAAGAATAGCAGGTAAGCAATTATATATATGGATATATTTTTAAAAATTTAACAATTACTATATAAAATATTTAAAACAAAATCTCACTGGAATTAAGATCCGATGATTATAAAAAGGAACAGTAATGCACTACTTCACTACTTTTGAAGTTTGTGATGCTTCTCGTGCAGGACAGTGTTTTATATCCCTTTGTTTGTTTGCCATTTCTGTAGGTGATGCTGAAATACAAGGACAAAAAATGGTACCAGTTTTAAACTTTCAAAGAGTCTGCTTGTGGCTATATTAAGAACACTGTTCAGGGAAGCAATGTTCATTCCCAAATCTACCAGTCACGGGTCAGAAGCAATTTTTCTCCTAGAAGATGTTTTCCTCTTACAATATTGGATTCATCACAGTGAGATTCAAGGAGAAATTTTTTAGGCCATGAGATGGAAGCTACAGTCATGTGGGTCTTACTCCAACACCTGGCTGATGCAGTAGCCAATTTTTTCCAAAAGGAACTCAACCATCACTGTGGCATGTATTTTTCAGAAGCTGTAGGTATGAACTGTGGGGAGTGTGTCTGGTTAAAAATATTCTGTACAAACTCGAATGTTAATGCACTTATAAAACTTTGCATGACTAATTGACATCTTAAAAAAAAAAAAAAGAAAAGAAAAAAGAAAGCATGTTGTGACCGAAGAAAAATGGGATTAATTTCTATTGAGAAAAAAAATACTTAAATGGCAAAAATCTTTATTTTTTAAAAATGAGACTACAAAATGTCAGTACATTTCAAGCATGTTTGCTACTGTTCTCAACATAAAAATGCGTTGAGCTGTGTTTTCTTATATGCTATTTATTTCCCTTGAAAAACCTTGCTCGAAATCAGTACTGTTTAACTCCTACCAGAAGAATAAATAACTTCAACAACCTATGCCCAAACTTTACAGATTTTTCAAGTAGCTAGACAGGCACTATCTGAAATGTCATTAAAACATGAGGGTAGATGGTTTATTTGCAATTCAGAGTACATGACATGTCATCCTTATCTGTACTTTTAAAAACGTGCTCTAGATTTATCTCACTTGTCCTTGGAGGGGGCTATGCCATTTTTCATCCCCATGGTTTCGGTATCACTTGGTTGCCTTATTTCTTTGTAGCAGGAACAGAAAACAAGCTTAGGAAATCTTGAAGTTAGGAAAGGCACAATGGGAAACCACAGTGCTACAACTTGGAGAGTCCCATCGATCTCCACTCACCAAAACTGCTTAGCAGCTGGCAAAACAGTGATTATTTTTTTTCGTAAGTGTTTGGTTGAATTTATGCTAAGGAAACTGCAGACCCCATCAACCTAGCAGCGAGAGCTCACAGCAGCAAGAGTAAAAGATGGGCTGAGGAGGAGCATGGAAAACAACTGTCAACATATGGCACTGAATTGGCACATAGAGCAAATGACACCACAGGTGTGTGGCAATTGATTTTCTGCTTACGCTGCTAAAAGTAATTTGCTTCTGCTTCAAAGTGGCTTGTTTGGTTTCTACAGAGAACTCAGCAGAACACTCTCCAGCTTGTAGAGTCAGAAGACAACAGTAAGTAAAACCTATCACCTATTTACATGGATGGAGTCCTAGTCCGTAGGAATATGCTGCATTCACAGTAGCCTACAAGAACCTCATTACCACGCAGGTGAACTGTTAAGTTAGAAATTTTTCCTACATGGGCTTGGAAACAAGGCACTGAAGACTTGTTTTCATGCACCTGGACATAGCTTCAAACTAGAAAAGGAAAGTGAGGAAAGGGAGGAAAAGCAACATTTAATTTTTCTCTATATGAGAAGAGGTACAGATGATGTCCTTTCAAGGAGTCCTGACTGGCACTGATGCAGCCAGACAGCATCCCCTTGGAACTAGATCTTAACTTCACCAGTGTTCACATGATCTCTCTCAAGGATGCCCTTCCCTTATCTGTTGTTTTCTTAAAATGGAGCCCAGGAAATTGTACAGTGTGGAAGCCTAGCTTCACTATCAGCACAGCTGTGCAAGTTAAAGGGATGGAACAGAACTGAGGTGTTCAGTTTTAAATTCATGTTGTAGCATAACAGGCATTCTGTGCTTTACAGGATTTTTATTTTTCTCTGTGGGCAAAATCAAAGTGAGAACCCTGACTGGTCTAGCTCAACTGGGAGTGAGACACAACAAGTTCTCTGTCACAGGAAAAACTGGACTATAGTTGAGAGAACTGTAGAAACTTGCTGGGAAAAAGGTCAAAGCCCAAAGATGCCTGAGTTTCCGCTGAGAGTTAAGGAACTGAAATCGTCCGTGACCCAAGACGCTGTCTGTGTGTTTCTGTGCGAGGAAACAGCAAACTCACCACTCGAATGCCAGTATGAACTGGGCCAGAGAACTCCTTCCAGAGGCCAGATCGCAGAACTGGTCACTTGCATATGAGGCAGTTTCACTGTAACCAGGCATCTAGAATGACAGATAAGTGACAACAATAGTAGAGCCATTCTGTATCTTCTGTTTAAATGTATATTCACTCTGCCTGTGCTCTGGGCTATATCCCCAAACCACTAGTCTCTAGGCAGCAAAATCATTTTGTGCAGCAGATCATTTAAACCCTCCAACCAACTTTATAGGCCTTGTTCTCTTTTAGAGAAGCTAGGTCATCTTCATTGGTGTCAAGATACCGACCAGAACTGGTTCTCCACCCAGCCCTACACTCATTTATGCACTGAGACAGTGCAAATGAAAAGGCCAGTACCAGCTGAAGTGTGGCACTTGGATATCCATAGGCTACAGGGCCAGTTTCTGCCATAAATTGGTGTAATGTAGTCAGCCTTTAATAACTCAGCCCAGATGAGCGCTAGCGCACGGTGGTCAGGCAGCAGCAGGCACACTTAAATGGCAAGGTAGGCAGCAGTTCTGCATTAGCTTTCTGTACACTGTACCTTGTGGAGGTGGCAGACGTCGCAAGCCCATTACCTTGACATCGGTGGAAGTGTCTCTTCTGGCTGGAGCTGGAGCCTGCTCCTGGTTTGAGAATCAAGTGTAAAAATTTAAGAAGGACTTTGAATTGCTAATCACCATAGCATGCCCAGGGAGAAAAGTGTCTTCAACAAGTCATTTACACGCTGGCTGACTTATCTTGGCAGCCACCACTCTCTGTCTTAAGAACAGGGGAAAAAAAAAAAAAACTTCCAGTAGATTTCCATTTTATGCAACAGAAGAATTAGAATTTAGCATCCCTCAAACTTAAAAACGTGAATAAGAAATTGTAAAGCAACTTTTCTCTAGTACTCCCCATTAGGTCACAGCTGTATCTTGCTTTCCACTCTTACATATTTCCAGACAGTTACAAACTGCTATTTCTGTTAAGTTGACCACTTGTGACTATAATTATCAATTTTCTGGTAGTCTGTAGAGATCTAAAAAGTTGTATATGTTTGTATATAGAACATTCTATATATAAAAATATATATATGTAATGTATATGTTGTATAAGTTTGTTAGTGCACACTGTTAAATGCTTTCTATCAAGATTTACCATGTATGTGGAAAAAAAAAAAAACTTCACTTAAAAACTTCAATGAGGGAGGAAAAATTCTTGCCTGACTGATTTATTGTGAAATGAGGGGGAGTGTGGGATTTTTGAAAGGCCTGACCTGAACACTATTAAAGGCTATTAATGAAAGTACTAAAGTCACAGCGTTCAGAGCAACGAGCACAGCATCTGAATTGCTGTAAGAAATTAAGGACACGAGCTGTCACTGTATGTTGAAATCATGTGCTTTCACCTTTTCCACTAAGATAGCACCACCTCGAGCAAATCCTAAACCTGGAGGTAATCTTCAACATCGTAATCCTCAGTTACAATAGACCAGATTGCCTAGAAATATTTGTTCAATTTAAAACACGCCTTTTTTTGTTGTTGTTTGTTTAGATACCCTTTTCACTCACATTCTTTGCAGAAGTTCTGTCACAACCACGTCCCAAAACGTGATGCACAGAACTTGCAACAGCACACGCATACATCTGGGTTTGACCAGATGTGTTTACACTTATGCATAGAGCTGTAGATAGACAGAGCATGCAGAGAAAATACATTAAATTAGATTATTTATATGTTTTCAGAGTAGGCAAGTCTTCAATGAAGTACAAGCTATTTTATTAAAAAACAAATCCATTCATAGAGTGTAAACTTAAGCTTCAAATATTGAATTAAAAGACAAGCTAAAGAAGAATTTGAGAATCAGGTTTTGTTTTGTATAATCACCTGTTTTTTAAATGATTTGATTTTTTTTTTAAACAGTTCTACAGGTCCACTATTTACATCAATTAGACATTCCCTGTATTACCCGAATAGCTTCCTACATGAATATTTAGCAGAAATACTCTATTTATTATGCATATTGTATAAAATTATCACATATAGAAATTCTCTAAAACATATTCCTTTTATGGAAGCCATTTTACACCAAAATGTATTATAATGGAGATATGCATACAAAAAATATTTTTTTCAGTAACAATTTAAAAAAAGTGAAGAAAATAGTGCAGCTTAAGTAAAAGCTGTGTTCAACCTCAGGACTCCTCCATTTATAAGATGTGTGTATTGTAACAGAGGCAAAAAGCCAGATTTCATTTAATTCCACCCCTTAAATACCCTGGCACCTGTACATCATTTTTCATAACCTAAAGGTGAACTCAAGCACAGTATAATTCAGTCTTGAATGTTTTTTTGCCTTGGTATGGTCTTAGTAAGAACACACTCTCTCTCATTAAGGAACTACATGTGGCCATTTGTAGTCAACTCTTCATCTAGGTGTATAAGCAATAGTCATGTAAATGAGTGTTTCCATTCATGTGTTTTGTTTTGTGGTTAAATCAACAAATCAAACATTGTACTTTTTTTAAATAGCAACCAATGCTCAGATTCAGTGTCAAGGAAACGTGGACAGAGTATGCATTAACAAGTCGTTACCTGTATTTCACAATGAAGGCAGATCTGGGGTGAACCACACGCTCCTGTGCTAACCCTTTCCTGTTCCCACAGGTATCCTAAGACAGCACCGCAAAAGGAAAACTAAGGCATCGTTAACTGAAGCTGTATGAAGTTCCCAGTTTAAAAAATTAAAAAAAAAAAAAAAAGAAAAAAAAAAAAGAGGGAAGGAAAATAAAGGAAAGAACTGATAACTAGTTGGTGTAGATCTCTTTTTTCAACCTGTACTCCTAGATTCTTTATAGTAGTTCCAAAGGTGAGTAGTTTATGTAAAGCTTTTGGATGGATCTTACACTACTAACCAAGGAAAACAAAATCCAGCCACAGTTGTTGCTGAGGCGGGGATGGCACATCCCTTCCTCCAACAGCTTGAACAGGGACAAAACCTGAACCCAGATAACACGCTTATACTTCACTGCATGCAGCTCATAATTGAAATATCCATCCCCAGAAACATTAACCTTGTACCTGGACTTCTTAGCCAATTGGCAGTACCCTTGTGTCGCTTCCACTGCAGGTTAAAAGCAGCCCTGTACAAGCTGAAATCTCAAAAGTGCAGAATCAAGCTATTCTTTAAGGGCACTTACCAGCAATGGGATTCAGTTGCTCTGCCAGGAGAGGCTCAAAAATGTCAGCTGAAGCTACTGAGCTTCCAGTTCACCTTCCTTCTTTTCGGCTACAGATTTATAGGAAAAAATGGCAGAAGAATCTCTGCAAAGTCTTTTCTTGATGAAATGCAAATAGAATGGGACAAAAGCAAAAGATCTAAAACAGGGGGTCTGTCTTGGGACTGGTGCTCGTGATACCTTTATCCACGACATAGTGGGATTGAGTGCGCCCTCAGCAGGTTTGCAGAGGGCACCAAGCTGAGTGGTGCAGTCGATACACCAGAAGGAAGGGAAGCCATCCACAGGGACCTGGGCAGGCTGGAGAATTGGGTCCAGGTGAACCTAATGAGGGTCAGCAAGTCCAAGAGCAAGGTGCTGCCCCGGGGTTGGGGCAATCCCAGAGATGAGGGCAGACTGGGTGGAGAACTCACTGAGAGCAGCCCTGCAGAAAGAGACCTGGGGGTTCTGGTGGACAAAAAGCTCACAGACACACACACCATGGCAGGGGGGTTAGAACTAGATGAGCTTTGAGGTCCCTTCCAACCCAAACCATTCTGTGTTACTGATGCCAGGTGTTCCTGCTACGGAGTATGGGGAAGTTCTGCCCAGTACTGAAAAGCCCAGTACTGGAAAGGGTTCAGTAGTAGCTTGAATCAGAATTTGAGCCATTTTGACAGGAGAGTGCATGTGAACTGAGCAGAACAAGGCTGCTCAACAACCTATGGGAACGGGCTCTCCATTTGAGAAGCTGGGTCACACGGGGCCACGTTATGTGAAGACAGCACAGCCCTGGTGACCTCCGTTATCTGTTAGGACTGGATCCTCTCCCGATGTCTTTTGGCAGGCAGACACCCACCTGCTGGTGCGTCAGCCAGGCAGTGCAGGGCACAGGACAGAACCAGGCAGCAACATCTCCACGCGTGCTGCACGACAAAGCTGCCACAATAACTGCAGCTTCCAACTCCTCCACAGCGTACATCCATCTTTTTCCTGGGCTGCCAGGCCACACTTGTTATTGAGCACTCTCTGTAGTGCCAACGAAAGGCAAAAGTGGGCTGCAGAGACACCAACAACCTGAGGAACAGAGAGCAAACACACACACAGGCATCACATCCTGGCCACGGGAAGATGAAGAGTGACCCGCACTCCATTTATCTGGCCCTGAGCAAGAAAAAAGCCAAGTTTACAACTGGGCCTTGGCACGTCATAGGGTATAGGTGGGAAGGCAAAAATATGTAATTAAATAATTCAGTCAGAAAATCTCTTTCTGGGTCACTTACCAGCATCAGAAAATCACAGGTATTATTTTCAGCACAGGTCTCAGCAGTGCCTCTGCTTATCTTAGCAAAGTCCTGTTCTGCTTCCCCTGCTCAGTCTCCTTAATAGTTAAAGTCTAATCAGAATTAGGGAATGTAAATAGCAGCAATCAGGCAGCAGCTCAGAACCAGTCCTAATATCATGACTCAAACACAGCAGCTGCCTCGCTCACAGAGCAGTGGCCACCTTTTATCTTCCCATTTGCTCCAAATTACAGCTTAATTATAATGAATCCATCGCGTTTGTTTATCAAAATAAGTTTAGTTCTGTGTCAATCATGTTATTGATTAGCATCTCCCTGTACAGAGAGCTTGCTGAGAAATACACGCGAGCTCCATCCTTCTGAAATCCTAAAGGGAGTGTGCAGGAGGCAAATATTGCAGTGTGCCAAGGAACAAGCAACTCAAATTATAGGAACTCCAGCGAGGCCTGAAATACAGCACAGGTGTGTCACCGCATGACACCCAGGAACAGGAACTCATTAGGCCTTGTGAATTGATAATGAATCCAACCCAACATCTTTACAGGCAGAGCACACAAATGGTCAGACGCCAGGGTGCCGAGGCTCAGATCTGTTAATAACAAAAGCTTTAAGAAGCCCAGAATAGAGAAGAAACAACTGTCTATCAAGCGAATGCCGTGGATAAAGAGCTCAGCCATCGGGTGACAGATGTGGTAGAAAACCACTGCGTGGAGAGGGCAGGAAGGAAACAAAGAAATTTTGATGTAAAGTGAAGAAAACCAGAAATAAAAGCAGGAAAGAAGGTCAGCTGAGTGCTGAGAAGAGCAGTCAGGGCATCACCACCTGGGGTTTTGACTCAATACCACACATCCATTTTGCTGCACAACGGGCAGGTGGTGGATCAAAGTCCGGGATGTGACCTTTTGTGTGGGTGCCCCATTAACATCTTTTAAAAACTCACCATGTGCTTGAAACCTCAGAGCCAGATACTTCTGATGCCAGGATAATGGCCACGCCAAAACCGCTGTATTTGAAGTTAACAAGCTCAAGCAGCAGTGCTCTCAGGCTGTTCAAAGCTGAGCGTGCATCATCTCAGATCAGGTTATAAAGGAAACTTCAAAAGTACACTTCTTAAAAAGGATGCAGCAGAAGTTCGGAAATGAAAGGAGAATAATTAAGGGCTTGAAAATTTCTCACAGTAGGCAAGTATGGAAACCAGGGATTGTTTACTTTAGAGAGGAAATGCGGAAGAGAAGACATGATAAAGTAAATAGAGACAAAGAAGATGATGAGAGGCACCTGTCCTCCCCCTCCTTGTAACACACAATGGCCGTACGATGAAGGTAATAGAACTCAAGATAAGGCACTGCAAGAAAGTGAATAAAAATATCTGAGCTTGTACAGCTATTGCACAAATCAGTGCATCAATCTGGAAGGAAAACAAAATCACACAACATGAGGCTTAGCCGGACCAGGAGAGTAACACCAAACGTTGGCAGGTTAATTCCTTGCGAGCTCCTTCCTTGCTCCCTCTTTTGAAGCACCTGATCCTGCTGCTCTGAGTCAGCCTCGGGGCTGGCTCCGTCTGAAAAGCCCAAACTCCCAGAAAAATCTTCCTTCCTGACCACAGGGACACCGTCAGAAACACTGTAGCAAAGCACAGGATAAAATCTGAGCAACTTTCAGCAAGGCTACCAAGGTGAGGCTGCCCGACGAAACTGGTCTCTGAAGACCCACAGGTCACCCACCAGCCAGCGAAACCTCATTAACGCAACAGATTTCAAACACCAGGCGAGGCTGTCGCTTGAGCCAGGCAGACTGAGCTGTTTTTCTTACAGCATGAATTGCAGTTAAGTGTTTAACCAATAAATTGGGTTTCACTCTTCAAAATGAAGGCTTTTGCTGGAGACTTTGTGTTAACTACAAGAGTCCAAACAATATCCCTGCAAGGTAGCAGTAGGATGAATTACACTAGTCAATCACCAACACATTTTCCTAAAAGTCAGAGGCCAGCCAGGCACCAGCTGCTCAGTGCAGCTATAAAGCCATTTGTGCACGTGAATACCAGCAACAGAATTAATTACAGAATGATCCTAGCAGATGCCTACAAAATTCAACATTAATTGCAAACACCGTGACATTTTTGTCCTGTACACAATTACACACAAGAACTTCCAAATAATCTCTGTGCTTTGTTTTAATTAAATAATCCAGCTCATTTCATACGCCATAAATTCATTAGGCTTTGGGCTTTGTTTTAAATTACAAGAACAAGCATATTTTAACAATTAATTTAAATAGTGTGCTTTTAGCAATAATAATTTCCACAGTTCCGTAAACATGTCTCACAGCACCGTCTGACCTTCCAAAGGTTTGGCTCAGTGAATTCATACCAGCTTCCACAACCCATGCCAGATGACAGTTTGCAACGATGTCCATAGAAACCTAAGAGAACTGCACCATGAGCAGGTCTCTCACTGCCTGCGAGTGTGCTGGTCCTTGCCTCGACCTGTCCATGGTGTGTTCCACATCCAAGAACGCTGTTTCATGTCTATAGCTCCAGGTCCTGCAGGTCTCCCCAGCTAGGTCCAATTTTCACTTTAACATTCAGTTTTACTGAGAGTTTGACAGCGTTTTCCATCTCGTGCTTGACAATCTGAGCTACCTGTAAGAAAACACACATCGGATGTTGCAGTGTTGTGTAGAAGCCCAATGTACACCACCTCAATGCTCTGTTTTCATGTCAATAGATAGGGTGGACATCTGCAGCTCTTCCATTTATTTGTACTGATGGGAATGTAAAATGTAACAGAACATTTTAATCCTTATTAGAGTTTATGGACAGATAAGTGTTCAAAACAAATAACATTTTATGCATTACAGAATTGGGACTGGCTCCACATTGTTTAAGATTACTTTAAAAAAAGCATGAGTAGTTTCCATTAAGTACTTGAGACTCCTGCCCTCTCCTCTTTCACCCAGATGCATAATTCTGAGTGTTTCATGGAGTCTGTTCTGAAAACAGAAATGTTCAGAAAGCAACATACAAAACAAATAAACCAGAGGCAAAGAACTGTGCTCCTCCTCATCATGTCAGCATGAGAGGCACTCTGAAACAAACACTACAAACTGCTGGGAAAGCAGATTCGCACTCCATGCAATGTTAGAAACTGCTCGGGTTTGCCCTCAGTTTTGTTGAGGCAACTTCAACTTGCTGCCCTCCAAAGGTATTTTTAAGAAAACATTCATTTAAGCGCACAGTTAAGGGCCTGGAA